GACTTTTCCCTTTAGGCGCAGGAGCAGCTGGGGTGCCGCCTTTATCCTGCCCTTGATCCCCTTTCTTCTCGCCTTTCTTGTTCTTCTTCTTCTCCTTCTTAGCCTCTGCTGGCAAAGCGCTGGTAGCTGCTTCCTTGCCCGTGCCACGAACAGCCGGTTTGAGCTTGACATCCTGATCAAACTCATCACGGTTGCGTTTTTGCTGGGCAAGCTCAATGGCCAGGTCAGCCTTTGCCCAAAGCCATGCACAGGTGCGGCGGTGACTATCATGGGCGGACTCACGGGCCTTCTCAACGCGATGCTTCATTACCACTTCTCAAACTCGTCAATGAGATGATTGAAAAGAGTTCTTTCCTTGGGGAGCTCATCAAGAGGTATTGCACGGAGAATATAGTTGTACTTCTCACGGAAAGCCTCTATGTCTGCTACTGACTGGCCGGCAAGTTTCAATCCTAGAAGATTGCGTTCTCCAAGGACGCCGATCCGATCACGCTCCAGTTGAAAGTGCTTGAAGATCGAACGCAACATCACGCGCCCATTGGGCATTGTACCTGCGGTGTTCCGTTCGTGCTCCACCATGTTTTGGAACAACAACCCAAACTTGCCTTTGCGACAGGTCTTCAACAGCTTGGCGGCTATCTCGCGGGTTGTGCGTGGGAAACGTTTATCTGCCCTGAGTTGTTTGATTCACGTATCCTGTCCGGCGTTCTCTGGCGGAAGAGGAAGCACTAAATCCTTAAGGTCCTTTATGCGAACCACGGTTTCCTCATGTGAGGCCGGATCTGATGCGCCTGTAGCAGCATCCCCACCACTTGCATCTGCTGCTTTGAGTACCTTGTCCCTGCCCCCCATTCATGGAAAGGGAGGGGCAGGCGGTATCATCATGCGGGCCACCACAGACTCGGCATGAGGGAGTGTTACCCTCGTCACCGGATTGTGAGGATGTGTCGGAGCTTGCCTCCGAAGGTGCGAGTGGGGAGGATGTGAATTGAGCCACTTGACTTGTACTTGCACTTGTTAGCCTAAGCGTGGGGATAGCAGTTGCGCGCTGGGCAGCTACGGAAGGTGGGGGTGCCTGAGCCGACGCGATCGGGGGCGAAGCCCCTGATACCCCCTGGGCTTCAACTAACTTTGAAAGTTGATAGACCATCTCAGTTAAAGAGGACATTTGTGCCTGTACGTCTACAGGCCCCCTTACATCCTGAGTCCGAGCGACGTCCGGTGGTCCTTGTGGTTGTGCACGTGGATCACCATCCTGGATTTGCACACGCTTGGCATCTGACTTGATGTCGGGCTGTGGGGATTTTGGGAAACCAACAGGGGCACGTGGCGCTACCTTAGGGTCGCTGCTTAGACTTCCCGATGCGCCTAGAGCTGCATCCTTCAGGGGATACTGCTCGCGTGTGGCATCACTCGGCCCTTGAACTTGGGGAGCCTGTGATCCAACCTGAAGGTCACGTCCAACGTCATTTAGCCCCGATGACCCGGGATCCGTAGGATTTTGACTTTCATGCCGGAGGTGCCGGAACATTTTGTGCCATGGATGCGACAGCCCTTTCTAGGTCAGCAAGGCGTTGCGACAACAAAAGGTCTTCACTCCCTAATGTATCTATCACTTTGCTTTGCTGGAGGATCTTCTGTTCCCGTGAGGAAATTTCTTGAATAGCCTCCTGCCTCAACCTGTACACTTCGGCTTCAGCGGCCGACCTTGTTTGTTGTGCTTCATGCCTAGCACGCTCAACATGGCTTACGGCTTCCTGTCTTAACAGATGGACATGGCCTTCGGCTTCCTGCCTCACCTGTTGAACATGGCCTTGAGCTTCCTGTTGAGAATGCTGTGCAGCTTGTTCAGCTAATGCTGTCTGAGCACGGGCTCGTTCGACTGCTTGCTGGGCTTGGTATGTCAGTTCAGTTGCCTGTTGTCTAAAGGTCTGCTCCCTTTGTTGCGCAACAGCGGCAACCTCCCCTAGCCGTTGTCTGGCCTGGTCCGCGGCTCGATGCTCGTGAAGGGCAACATTGGCAGCCTGATCAGCAATGAGCGAAGCTTGATGCGCACGTTGCAACGCCGATCCGGCCACAAACGCGGCAGCACTCATGTCCCTAGAAGGGTCGGGAGTGGGCACCTGTGGGCTACACACAAGGGGAGTTGCTGTAGAGTCTGAATCAGGTTCCTCTACAATGGGAGTCCTACGGGGAGGAGTTGCGATCGCGACTACGATTATCTCTTGATGAGGATGCCCTGGAACCTACGGGAACTACGGACATTGCGGGTACCGAAATATCACCTAGTTCAGGGTCGTCCTCATTAGATTCTCCCCCAGGGTTGACCTTGACCTATCATCCGAAGGTGGGGAAATCCCTGATGCCATGTCGGATGCACCTTTCACACGACCGCGCTTTAAGCCGCGGCCTTGGAAAACTTATGATACAACCGGTGTTGGAAACCGGTGCACTTGCTGCGCTTGAGCTGCAGCCTCCGGCGGTGCCAGGTCAACGAAAAAATCCTCGGCCGCCCCTTGCCGATTGCGGGCGGCGGCCAACCTCTTCGAGGTACTCGTTCTGATCGAGTATCCTGGCAGGGCGGAGAAGGCGTCGGTGCCGTGAGGTACTCGTGGAGCTCGTCCAGCGCGTCGTAAAGCGCCCGGTTGGCGTCTCGCCGATCGACACCTACGCCGAGGGCGCCTGCGGTGCGGCACTCCTTGAGGACGGAGTTGTTGTCGTCCACGACGGCGCACGCCCCGAGCTGCGCTAAAGCTGCAGCCTTGCCAGCACGTCTCCGAACGGGTGTGCCCAAGCCGTCAATGGCGTCGTTGCACACCTCGAAAAACTGGGTGGCAAGTTGGAGGGTGCTTTCCCGGGTGTCCCGGGCCTGGCAGTAGCTGACGATGCGGAACTGGATGGGATAGTGGCTGCGATACACTTTGGGCGCACCGTCAGGCTTGACGGAAATGTCGAGGGTGTTGCGCCAGTCGAGGGCGATGACCAGCGGGTCTCTGGCCTCTTGCTGAGGCGCACCGAATTGCGTCCCGTCAGGGACGGGGCCCTTGGCAGCTGCAGTGGGTGGCTGCTTGACCGGCAACTTGGGAGCCGGTGGCGACTTGTACCTCACCTGTGGTGCAGGTGAGGGTGGCGCCCGCTTGTATGCTTTGGGCGGTGTCTCAGGCCGTCTTTACCCACTAATCGACTTTGGAACCGATGCTGCGCGTTGAGCTGCAGCCCTTGGCGCTGGTGCTGGGGGTGCTGGTGGTGCTCTCAGCGGTGGTGGGGGGATGGCCTTCGACGCAGCGCGATCCGCAGCTGCCTGGTCGAGTACCTTGACCTGTCTTTCCCGCTTGGCAAAAACAATCCGAGCGGTCTTTGTTGCGGGTGCTGTGGATGAGCCGCGCCCGGCAGGTGCAGGCGGCTTGATGCTGACCTGCTCAGCCTCGTACACCCTGTCCGGGTTGAAGGCCGCACGACCTGAGTACACGGCTTGCGCCGACCTTTCTGGAGGTGGCGACTCGCTCAGGTTGTAGTGCTCGGCCCTCCCGTGACCTCGGGGAGGATTGGAAGAGGACTCTGCCCTCGACGGATGATGCCAATACGAGTCTGGGAGGTCGTACGGCTCGTCTGAGAGTACCGGGTGCGTCGCCCGACGCGTGGGTCGTGCTCTTCCTCCTCGATGAGGACCTGCCCGCAGCAGTGTACCTTCCCCTACTCGCAGTTGCCGGCGGATAGGATGAAGGTCGGGACGGGCTCTCAGTTGTGGTTCTTGGTGGAACCGCTGCGCTTGGAGCTGCAGCCTGATCTCCAGGCCCTGTTGCTGCCTGTGTCTGCGCTGCGCTTGGAGCTGCAGCCTTGATGGTGGACACAGTTGTGGTGGAGGATGGACTTGATGGGGCGCTTGGCTGTTGCTGTGGCTGAGCTGGTGTTGAAGCCTGCCCTGCCGCGCCTTGAGCCTGTGCCCGTTGGTGAATTGGGATTGGTTGGTGGCGGCCTCGGGCGATGACGGCGTCGTAGAGGTCGGGGTAGATGTCCCGCAAGTGCCGATAGCTCTCTTCAGTGAAATCGGCCTGCCACGCCAGGAGGGAGCTCCGATGCAAGTCCGAAGCTTCCTCCCAGGCTGGAACTCGCGCCGAGCCCAACGGGTGAGCTCGTCGAAAGCTTCGTAGTAAAGCTTCCGACGATGGACCCGCCCGCCCCTTCGTCCTCTGGCCGAAAAGGCCGGAGCCGGGTCCACGCACGAAGTGCGCTGACTACCGGACTGAGGGGGCCTAATCCCAAAAAGCAGTTACGGCTGATAACCACTCAACAGGGAAAGAAACACAGCGAATCAGAAACCGGGACCCTTATTAACCCCAGTCCGGTAGGCGAGCGCAAACCCTGTTTCTATGATGGGCATTGAATCTTGAGCCAAATGGGCATTGCCATTCAGCATGTTTGTGCTATCAACGGGGCCTCCAACATCACATGCATGCACACCCTTCTGGGGTACCTCTTTGGGGGTCAAGGGGTCGTGATTATTCAACTGTTTAAACTACAAACGAGTCTTGGCAAAATCCATTCAGGATCCCATTTGTTCATTGCTCAGGTAGGTAGACTTGATTGGGTGATTGATGTCCATCAAAGGGATATGAACCCAAGGTTTATCTATTTATGTGTTTATGATTTTCACGTTGGCCTTTTGTGTTGGGGAGAGGTGGATTTGTTGGATAGTTCGAACAAGGGACTTCAATAAGAAACCACTGAGTTGTCGAGGTTCTCATTTTCAAACACCCCGATTTGAGCCCAGAAAATGGATCGAATGGTTTTTTCTTCTAAATTTCAGCCCCATTGCGGCAAACTCTCATTTGGCTGTGGGTCAAATTTAGGTACGAGTACCCAAAATGGAAGCATGGTAAATGGACACATGGACTAAAAACTGTGGCCCCCTGGTAGTTTAACTTTGACCCATACCCATTTGCTTCCCTTGGACTTTCTTCCCATCGATAAAAAAAGAAGAAGAAAAAAAACGCCACGGCCTTCTTCTCGGCAATCTCCTTGGCTCCGATGTTCGATTCGTCTCAAGTGGGCGTGTCTAATAAAACGGGGGCACCGCCAAAAATCTGCGGTTTCCTCACTTCACTTCCTCAGCGGATCAGCAATTAAAAAAAGGAACTGTTTCTCGGTTGCTTTCTGCTCCCTTGCTAAAAGTTTAACTTTTAGTGGTCCATTAATGGAGCACCCAGTAGTTGGCAAAAGTTGAAGTCCTCACATCCAAGCAAAACGCACCAAAGGAATATCACTAGAATTGTCAAGAAGTTAGAAGTACGGGAACTTAGGGAGTGAGTTTCCTCGTAGCTTTCCTTCAAAGCCGCCAAAACTTGGCACGCTCAAAACAGAGCAATGTGGAGGTGATATCAAGTTGGGGCTGCCTTGCATCCGGCAAAGTAACCCTCCCTTTATCCAAACTCTCGAGCCGGTGCGAAATCAGACTGAAACCCAGCAATTTGGAGGGCGGGGGTCCGGCACCGCTCCCTTTTGTTGGCCCAAGAGCCCCAAGAGCCCCAAGGCTCTTCGGCGAGTTCCGGGAGGCACCGCGGCTGCTTCAAAGGGGCAACCAAATGCAACAACTGCCTATATGGTCGTGGGCCACGTGGGTCGAACATAGGCACCATGGCTCGCCCTGGGACATGGAACCCTGGGGACCAATTCCTGTGGTCCCCTGGCGGCTTAATTTTGACCACGAGGGAGGCTTGTGTTGAAACAAACGAGCACGAAGCCTGGCAGGGAATGCATCTTAAGCTGTTGGTCTTCCACTGAGCCGCTACGTTCCAACGGAAGGAGTGCTGGGTCACGTACACGAAAAGTTTCAGCCTGGGCAACTTGTAGGGATTGATTGGTATTTGTTTATAGGTAACTTATCGGTATTTCTTGGGGGAAAACCCGGCCCGTGGCAAGAGGCAGTTTCCCTGCGAATCCGAAAGCGGTTGAAACGTTCTGTTGAGTCGGGACAAACAAATACACAACACCCTCTGCCCAGTCATGTCTTCAGGCGTCGGCGAACATCTCCAAGCACTTCTTCACCAGGTTCTTCTTGATCACCCGCAGGATCTTGTTCTGCTGGAGCGTCTCACGGGAGATGTTCAGAGGCAAATCCTCACGCACCGTCTCAAACCGACGGAACACCTTCGGCTGAACAGGTTCTCTTGGCAGCAAGACCTAAAAATTCTAGGCTGCCATGGAAATTAAGCTTCCTCACAGCTCTAAGAGTGTACTATTCGTGATGAAATTTACCCCCTTTTCTTCGGTCGTTTTTTTCTGCACGGCGTCGGTTGACAGGTCTAAACTACCGAGTTGCTTCACCCACCTCCTGCTGGCTTCCCTTTAAAAGCGCTGGGCCCCGTGCGGGTCATGGCCATGGCTTTTTCGTGGAAAAACCAGTCCAAGGGCTGAAGAATAAAACACCTACCAAGACCATGCGAATTTTATGCTTTGAAGATGGGTACATGTAAAAAAACTAGGCTCTCTTTGACCCTGAACAATGATGGTGGTTGTGCATTCCTCTTCAGCTAATGGAAGCCATCTCTCATCATCCAAGACCCTTGAAAAATCGGGTCCTTTGGGAGATCCTTGATTTCTTCGTTTTGCGCCTCGACACCATGCCCAATGCTTGTATTTGTTTTCAGGTCTCATCTTGGCCCCAGAAGGAAAAGAGGTCTATTGCCCCCCCCCCCACAAAAAGAAAAGGAATCATAAGAGGCCTACTTTGCCAGTATGGGTTACTTCCATTATCGGCAACATCAGAACTAGAAGTATTGACATAACCAAATACAACCATGACATAACCATGATTTACTTCCATGATTTACTTCCATGACATAACCAACTACAGCTTCCTTCTACTTCCATTTGCATTTGCCATCCAACATACTTGAAATATTGCATGCATCAGAATCCACCCCTTTATGCCCCTGTATGGCCATGGGGTCAAAACCCCCGAACATCCGATTGCCCACTAAAATAGACTAAAATGGGTGGGATAGGTGCACATGGCACCATTGGTTTTGCCCCACAGCCATGTGTGCCCCCCGCCCCCCCGGAAATAAATTTAAAAAAAAAAAAAAAAAAAAAAAAAACTTGACATATTGGATGCATCAGAATCCCCCCTTTTATGGCCCCTATATGTGGTCCCCCCCCCAAAAAAAAAAAAAAAAACGACGCGCAAAGAAAATCCCCACGCGCTCGATCGAAGACGTCGATAACTTTCCTCGGAGTCCACGACGCCCTTGACGAAGTTCAGCCACTCCGGCATCAGCTCGTCGCAGTCGTCCATGATGAAGACGCGCCTCCGGAGGAAAAAAAATACTTGTACTTGTGGGTCGGTGGGTCGGTCGTTGGTCGGTCGGTGGGTTGTTCAGCGGGTTGGTTGGTTGGCCGGAGAACAACAAAAAAAACATCACCGGTGGGGAGGGAACGATGGGCAGGTGGGTTGGGTGGTCGGTGGGTGGGTGGGTGGGTGGGTTGGTTTGAAAAAAACAAAAAAACGGCCGTGGGTTGCATAACCTATGGCGATCCCATTTTGGGCGGATGAACATTCATTTGCCAGCTATTTTGATGTTCACCAGGGGTACAGAGTTTTGACCCATGGGCCCATGGCCACACAATCACCGGTGGGGAGGGAACGATGGGTGGGTTCGTTGGGTGGTCGGTGGGTCGGTCAGTGGGTGGGTGGGTTGGTTTGCTGGGTTGGCGAGTCAGTGAGTTGGCTGGTGGGGGAATTCGTTGGTTGGTTGGTTGGTCGGTCGGTGGGTTGGTTGGTTGGTCAGTTGGTCGGATTTTGTGTTTTAGTCGAGGCGGGGAAATGGGAGGAAAAGCCTAGAATTAGTGGGTCATTAATTTTGGTTGGGGGCGAACATCCGCCTGAATCTTCGGGAACCCGGTTTTGTGTCCCCAGATTCTTTTTGGAATCCCCAGCAGCTTCCCTTGGAAGCCATCCAAAAGAGGACCACCTGCTGGAGCTTGCCAGGAACCTGGCTGTCGACCCACTGATAATGTCCGAATGGGAACCCCCCCAAACCTAAGCGTCCTATTCGCCTAAGATCTTCATAAAGCCGGCCCTAAACCTAATCCAAAGCCACTCCAAACTAGCTCAAACTCACTGGAAATAAAAGGTGCACCTTTTGGAACCTTCACTAAACTTGGACCATCTCAAACAAACCATTCGCGATTCGCCTTGTGCCTTGGTGAGCTCCAAACGCATCCCAAAGAAACATGATCCCGAAGAGAGGCCGGCAAAAGCTGTTTCCCGAAGCTCAAGGCGTTTTCCACCCGTGGAGGGCTGGAAAGCCCCGACGAACCTCGGCGTGTAGAGCCGTAGAGCCCCGCGAGCTCCCCGAGACAATGGATTTTTCCCTAACGCGCCGCAGGAGCCCGGCGAAACCGTCGCCAAGGCACCGAACGGAGCCTCATAGCCCCCAACCCAAGAAGGGGGCAAGAAGTCAAACCAACCCCAAACCACCAAATCCCCAGCCCAGCCCTATCCCGCCTCACCCCAGCCCGCCTCACAGAACAAACCAACCCCACACCAACCCCACCTCCCCAACCCTCGCCTCACGTAGAGCTTGATGTTGTTCCTCTTCTTCTTGGTCTCGAACAAGTCGAAGGGCGCCCGGCGCGGCACGAAGAGCAGGGCCCGGAACTCCAGCTGACCCTCCACGCTGAAGTGCTTCACCGCCAGGTGGTCCTCCCAGGACCCGTTCCTGAACTTTAGAGGTGCTTCAAAGGATGCGCCGGCTCGGTGGCCGTCTTTTTGGTAGGTTTCAATTGGCGTCTAAAATCAAAACCTCCCGCGTTTGGTACGTTTTAAAGGGCGTCCAACATGAAAACCAGTATCGTTTTGTGTCTTTTGGAGTTGGTACTTGTTTCAGTTGTTTTAGTAGGCTTCAAAGGGAAACCAACAGGAACACTGTTGCGCCATTTACTTATTTTACTTCTCTTATCTATTTTTTTTTTGGGGGGGGGTCCGACTGCTAAGACAAGACGCGCTCAAATCACATGGTTTGCGAACCATCCCTTTAGAACAGGTGGGAAAAGCGGTGCATATCTATCATTCCAGGAACCCTGCTGTTGTGCACGTCTTGTTGCTGTTTTCAAAATAGATTGGGTTACAAGCTGGGTGTGTTGCTCTAGAGATATTCCTGCAAGCTCCAAAGTAAAAAATCAACTTTTGGTAGACAAATGGGACCTGAGGAAGACAAACTTAGGGAAACTGATCAAACCTCCTTGACGTTTCTTGGGGCTGTCATCTTTCAAAGGCTTTGAGTAACCCATGAAAGTGTCCAAATTCCAAATGGGCATGGGGCAAGCTGCCCAAATTGGAAACCCGGAAAGTGGAAAGGACTGAAACCTTGCTTGAAGGCCACCTGCGAATTGAATTGACCGAATGTTTCTTCGATTCGGGATCCCACATTTGAAGTTGGGTCTGTTTCCACACAGGGAACCAAAGGAGGCCACCTGGAGCAAGTCACTAAGAAACACCCATACAAGTAACCCTGCCATTTTACACTCCCACATGCTGACAAAGGGTGCGTGGAAGAGGACTATGGTCGTCCAGCAGGTTTCCCTCACTTTCCGTGATGTGAGGGTACCATCAGAAGTTGGCTTTGGGGGGGGGGGGGCGATTTTCTGGAGACCTCTAGACATGTTTGCGGGATAAGCAGCAGTCACAACTTCCCAGAAGAATTTCCCAAGCGGTGTCTCCAATCACCTCTCGAGGCCAGGCCCTAAGATATGATTTCCGTTTTTCTCTTCACCCATCCTTTTCCCGAAAGTCGGGGATCCCATTCTTCGGAAAAAGAAAGGGAACCCTCAAACAAAAGATGGCAAGGGAAGCCAGAACCCAAGCCGGTCTCAGAAAGCAGCTCCCCATTTCCGGCGCTTGCGGCCCCGTCCTCCCAGTCATTGGACAACGACTTGTAGAAGCTGGCGTACTCCTCGTTGGTCACGTCCTCGGACTTCCGCATCCACAGGGGCTTGTTCTTGTTCAGCTGCTCCCACTCGTGGGACACCTCCTTCACCTTCTTGGTCTTCCTCGTGTTTTCGTGAACAACGGGGCGGGGGGCATTTGCTGCACCTTTGGAGGCCGGAAAAAAGGAGAAAACAAACAAAAACAAAAAACGCCGCAACCAACGGCATCGGCACCTGTGCGGCACAAGCTGGTCCGGCTCAGAGGCACCTTCTAGTCCAGGCAAACCATTAAAAACTCAAAGGGGAGATAACCAAAAAAGCAAAGCCTAGGTCCTCCAGTAGAGAGCTTAGAATAAGTTGGTACCCGATGTTTTTTGATTGTTCTTCTTTTTTTTCTGTAGTCTACTTTAGCAGGGGAACACTACCCAAAACAGTTGGTCAAAGGGCACTGCTGGGGGACCTAGTAAAGCCTTGAGCAAACGGAAGAAGTCAAAACATGGAATCCCAAATGGAGGTCCCCAAAAACAGTGTGTGTGTGTGTGTTTCTCTCCACGCAGGATGGCTTTGCGAGTTCCTTGTGAATTTGAAGGAGGGTACAAAACAGAAAAGGAGAGGAAACCTCTCGCCAAGTGGACTTGGCGTCTTCTTCTTCTCCTCCTTCTCCTTCTCTTCGTCCACCTCCGAATCTCGATCCCAACCCCCAAACTTGGAACGAGACCAAAAGAAACAAACCATTCCATGGTGTCCGATTCCTGTAAGACATGCGCGCCCTTTCAAGCAAACCCCGACCTCCTCGATCTTAGGCTCGTCCCCGGCGTCCTCCTTCTTCTCCTCCTCCTCTTCCTCGGAGTCGGTCACCTCCTTCTCCTTGGACTTCTCCACGTAGAGCTCGATCGGGAAGCCGATGAACTCGCTGTGCTTCTTCACCAGGTCCTTCAGGCGTCGCTCCTCCAGGAACTCGGACTGGTCCTCCTTGAGGTAGCAAATGATCTTGGTTCCTTGCGCATATCTGAAACCCATAGGTGTGCAAGTAGGGAGCTCGAAAATGGTTGGTTTCCAGTCCACTATTTTCAAGAACTCCCAAATGCGTGGGTGACAAACGCCGTAAACCGAAGGTTCAACGCTTTCCAACCGTCTTTTGATTGCGCTTAAACCAGTGGGCTGTCTTCGTTTCGAGAAGCAGCTTTGTTCCGATCTCACACGTCCCAGGCTCCTCGCTTGATCTCGCCGTGCACAAGCTCTGTGTCCTTCTGCACGGTGAAAGATCCGCCGGCGCCCGACTCCCAGATGTACTGCTCGTCGTCATTGTGCTTGCTGATCACCCGCACCTCTCTGATTCTCACGGACCATCAGGTCTGGCAAACAAAATTTTGTCTCACCTCTTGGGTGGATAGGCCGAACAGGCCTATGCACCACCAAACCAATTCCAATACCCCAGCAAGCGACCCCAAACAGCGTGGAGCGGAAGCAAACACCCCGCGTCTAGAGTGCTCTCAGCACGCGCCACAAAAAGTGGCACGACAACAGAAACATATCTACATATATATAGATATGTATATGTGAAGATGTAGGCATATATAGGTACATGTATAAAAGTATATATAGTAGAAGTCTACCTGAACAAACTCTTCCAACATAGAAAGCTTTACGCGACCACAAAAAGGTCTTGCACAATGTTTCTCGACAGGATCTTACAAACGCGGCGGATTTCTTGAAAGGATGCTTGCAGGAACTCCCTGCAAAACGGTCTTGGTTTCCATGTAATGTCATTTTGAAGGTATACGTTTTTTGGCTTTGAGTGGAAACCAAAAGAACACCACCATTCTGGCAGCTTACACAACAGACACACCCTTGAGAATCCACCCGTAACATCAACAGACACACCGAAAACGAGCCACCCTTGAGAACCCCCCGTTTCTTGTCAACTCCCCCTGCTCCTTCCGCGCTTCTCAACGGCTTCCCCTCTATTTGCTCAAGTCACCTGGAGACTTAAAAAAAGAACCAGTAGTGATAGATTCCCTTCAAAACCAACGAGGGAAAAACAAATATCAAGCAAATAGAAACCTCCGCGGCGAGACATGCGGACTTCGCGCGGAATCGCCAGCGGACGCGGCCTTGTCGGACACCAGGTACGCGCTGTAAAAGCCCACCCCGAACTGCCCGATCATGGAGATGTCACCTCCGAATTGAATTGGATCCGTGGGGATGAGGCGGGCTTTCAGCGTGCAAATTTGTTTTCGCGCGATTGAGCTTTAGGTTGCAAATGTCAGGTGTTGTGTTTGTTTGATTGCTTGTTTGCTTGTTTGCTTGCTTGCTTGCTTGTCTGTCTGTCTCTGTCTGTCTCTGTCTGTCTCTGTCTCTGTCTGTCTGTCTGTCTGTCTGCCTGCCTGTCTGTCTGTATGTTTGGTTGGTTATTTCGCTTGGTGTTGCTTTGATGGATGCTTTTCTGTGCTTCCTGCTTGCTTGCTTGCTTGCTTGCTTGCCTGCCTGCCTGCCTGCCTGCCTGCCTGCCTGCCTGCTTGCCTCCTGCTTGTCTGCCTGCCTGCCTGCCTGCCTGCCTGCCTGCCTGCCTGCCTGCCTGCCTGCCTGCCTGCCTGCCTGCCTGCCTGCCTGCCTGCCTGCCTGCCTGCCTGCCTGCCTGCCTCCTGCTTGTCTGCCTGCCTGCCTGCCTGCCTGCCTGCCTGCCTGCTTGCTTGCTTGCTGGTGTTCTTGCTCGCTCGCGCACTTTGCTTGCTCGCTTGCTTGTTTGCTTAGTCTCGTGTGTTACATTGATTGATTGCTTGTTATTTGATTGTTTGCTTGTTTAGTTGATTCGTAGTTGATTCGTTGGTTGGTTGGTTGGCTGGTGTCTGTTTGTCTGTGTGTGTGTTGTTTGTCTGTCTGTCGGTCTGCCGGTCTGCCGGTCTGGCGGTCTGCCTGTCTGTCTGCCTGCCTGCCTGCCTGTCTGTCTGTCTGTCTGTCTGTCTGTCTGTCTGTCTGTCTGTCTGTCTGTCTGTTTCTTTGCTTGGCTGGCTGAGTGGTTGCTTGTTTGGTTGTTTGTGGATTTGTTGGTTTGCCTGGTTGGTTGTTGGTTGGTTGACAGGCAGGCAGGCAGGCCGGCAGGCAGGCAGGCAGGCGGGCTGGCTGGCTGGCTGGCTGTGGCTGGCTGGCTGGCTGGCTGGCTGGCTGGCTGGCTGGCTGGCTGGCTGGCTGGGTGGCTGGCTGGCTGGCTGGCTGGCTGGCTGGCTGGCTGGCTGGCTGGCTGGCTGGCTGGCTGGCTGGCTGGCTGGCTGGCTGGCTGGCTGGCTGGCTGAGAGGTCGCTCACTCGCTCGGTCAGAAGGGTTTGTTTAATGTGTTCTTTGTTTGCGTGCTTGCTCGCTCGTGTTTGCGAGTGTGCGTCGTTCAAGTTCCGGCGCGTGTCAGTTTATCAGTCTAATCTTTCCACAGTCTACTTGCTCGGCAAAACAAGCGAATGGTGTACGTCAACACAAGCACGCAACGAAAAAGCCAACCAGTGTGTACATCCAAAATTAGCTGGCCGCTGCCAGCTGTTTGCCAATTCGCCCCAAAAACCAAGGACAACCTTTGGTGTGGGTGTGCCTATAAAATCAACCCGGCAACAAATCGCACCAAATGCAATCCAAAAAGACGCCTGCAATAGACTTGTTGCACAAGAGTTGCTCCCCCTCCCCCGCCCCCCCCCCCATCCGCTTCTACTGTGCTTTCCCCTCGAGTTCCCGAACCTTTCCCTCGATCTCCTCTCTTAAGCAGCAAACAAATCAACACTCCAATCTCTTTCCGTGGGGTTTTCTTCGGATTCTCTCCCCCCTGTTTCCCGCCCCCCTGCGACCAACTCGGCTCCGCCTCCGGCGGCCATGGCCTCCATGAAGGCCTTGGTGCCGCTCTTGGCGATGGTGCCCAGGTTGTTGATCAGCTCGTTCCTGGGACGACTTGGGTGGGGTAGGATGGGAGAGGAACTTTCCCTCATAGGTGGGGGAATTTGGGGAACTTTACCTCGTGTGGGGTAGGATGGGGGGGGGCGAGGGAACTTCCCGGCATCGCTTGCGGATTTTCCTTTTTAAAGGGCGGCCTTCTCACTTTTTTTTGCAAGGGGAACACAAAATTGGGGCCCCACGGTCCCCTATTTTGACACACACTCACTTATTCCAGCAGCCCCGTACCTCTTCAAGTACCCAACTCTCTGGTATCCCCTGACTGGAGTAGTCCAAGACCTTGGGTTTGTCTCAGAACGGACCCATTTGAGTGATTTCCATAGAGTTTCACTGTGAAAGCAACCCCAAGCGCGAGCCAAAAGGAATCCGATGCACCCCTAGGAGGGTGTTCTGAACCGAGCCGAATTTCGACCCCCTGCCGAACGGGATAGAACACGAAAACAAGCTAATAACAAACAACAAGGTTGTTCAACTTCAACTTTATTGATCAGCTCATTCCTGAGCGCGCGGCACAACCACCGTTCCCCCAACAGAGCGGCCCCTCGCTCAAGCACGAGGACCCCGAAAGCAAAGGCGGCGGAGCGGCCCCGGCTTCTCCATTCCATGCGGGCGCTTCTCAAAATGGAGGCCCGAAACGACTGATGTCCTTCTGGTTTCCCGTTAAGCAAAACTTTTCGCAAGGGGTCGGGAACCGCTTTGTGGGTCAACTCGTTCGTTTTGCATCCAGCCTTTCATTTCCGTTTTTGCAAAAGCCGCGCGTCTTGGTCATGCCAATGCCGGAATCTTCGATGGTGAGCGTGGAGTTCGTCTTGTCGGGGATGATCTTGATGAAGAAATTGGGCTGGGCCTCTGGCGGTGATTTGCTGCGTCTGTCAGAAGTCTGCCCCAATGAGCTACTCAGGCTGAATTTGTTGGAGGATGGCCGGAGGGATTCTACAAGCACAAGTTCGCTTCAGCTATCATGTCAATAAGAACGCGCGCCGTTTCTCGGATTCCAAGGGGGCCAAGGCGCCCAAGCATCTTCACTTCCCCTGCCCAAAACACCTTCACCCATGTCTGCTGGCCTAAGAGTTTGTCGGCTTCCTGCTCCATGGCCATTTTTGTCGCAAAGGCGCTGAGAAACACGCAGCATGACCTTTGCGCCTCAGGCCCAGCCCAGCCCAAGCAAGCCCGCGCCGCCCAAACAGGCAGGCCCAAACAGCAGCGCAGTCCGGCTGCCTAATGTCAAGCAATGGACACGTCACACAAACCAGCCTTGTCTCTAGAACTGCCTTAATCCCAGCCCAACCAACAACCACGGCTCAGCCCAAGCAAGGCCCAGCCTTGTCTGCTGGACGCTCATTCCTGGTCAACATCACTTGGTCCAACGACGCCACAACTTGTCCATGCCTGAATCGCCACTTGACCACACCCTGCTGCTTGCAGTCGAACCACAGGCGCTGCGCACTCGGCTGGGCCGATTTTACAATAACTATATATAATTGCCACGCGTTGTTCAAAATATGTTTTCTACGAGGTTGTTTCGGACCCCTAAAAAGACCGGATTCCTTCTTCCCCTGCAAAACCATTCAAAAGGTTTTCCTCTTCTGAAGCAATCTGAATGGGGATCTCGTTCGAATGAAATTCTGCTGCGTGCTGAGCCCTGATCACGGAAAGCAGAAGGCATGCCCACACACGTGAACCCCTACTGCACGTAGTACAGGTTTGCAATTGCACGTTTGCGCACGGTGTTTGCGCTCTTCTTGCAGTCACGCGCACATGTTCAATCACGGTTTCATCGAAAGAACAAGATCGCTCTTCCATGATCGCTGAATATCCCTTTCTGACAGCAGGCGCCCACTTCGCCCACGTGCGTTCCCCGAGCTCCTCTGCGAAAATGCTGCACAAGCCCCGGCGAGCCGGATTTGCAGCAACTGCCTCCTCCGCGGCCCAGAAGCCGATTTGCAACTAGCCGCGCGCGCAGTCTGGCAGCCGGACACAATTGCGACCTTGCTCCGCGGCAGAAGCGCTTCTTCGGCAACTGCTTTCTGCAACCCTGGCAACGCAACGCGAATCAAAGGAAAACTGGCCCTCGATGCAGTTTGGCGCAACAAAGACACGCTCTGCGCGTAGCGCCTGGCCAAGGGTTGCAGCAACGCGTTTATGGGGTAGGTCCACCAAGTGCGGTCGAGACGGTTTGCGAGCACCACACAAAAACAGCCATCTCAGGGGTCTTCCACGTGTGACACCCTGCCACGCCGCTCGCCAACGCGGCTGCCCTAACCATAAGTAAAAGCACGAGACGTGAAAAGATCATGGCCATCCAGGGCGTGTTGGAGACGCAAGGCATGCGTCTCACATCACGTTTGTTAATTCATCCACGCAGAGCAGTTGCGCCGAGCCATCACCCCTAAGTGTGGGGTGTGCGCTAATAAGCCGCAAAGCCACACCGCGCTTGCCTGACACCACGCCGGGGCGGACTTGGCCTTGCGCTCACGCGCTACCGTGCCAGCTCTCAACGTCTTGCCTTTTTGGCGCTAAAGGCGTGGAACCACCTGCTGTTTCTCAAGAGCCATCGCAGGCGGAACACAGGCGTCTCCAGCTTCCAAGCCCAGCTGTCCTGGCCCGCCTGCCATGCCTGGCAACCCAGGAGTGAAAGAACCGCTGCGGCGACTCTTCCCTTGCTTCCCAGGCATATGGCAGCGTGAACCGCACACGGCGCAACACGCGAAAGTATGATGCGACGGGACAAGCGCAACAAACAAGCCAAACTACCAGACAAACAAACAAACAAACAAACCCACCTTCCCACCAAACACACATACAGCCAAACACAGCGAATCCACAGAAAACATAGAAATATCGGCGCGTCCTTCTACATTGCTCGTTTTGGGGTCAAATTGTTTGCGACATTGGGATTGTTTCAGACGAGGAAACCCTTTTGCGGTTTTGACGGGAAGCCGGAAGGAAAAAGAAAGTCTTTTTCGGTGTCCATAATATTGAAAAAACGTCTTTGGATTGTTGCAACTAATTGAATAGTGATTGTCAATACAGTAAACAACCCGGTGTACACCCGGCCTCAATCTTGTCTGGATCTGTGATGCTTTCATACCGGATCTTGTCCAGTGCGTCTGACGCATTGGAGATGAGCTCGCGCAGAAAGATCTCCTTGTTGCTATAGAATGTGTTGATGATCCTCAGCGCCAAATTGATGCGACATCCAAAAAAGTTGTCACTGTTTGCAGGCGCAAAGGCAATATGAAGGAAACCTAAAGGCCAAAAAGGCAAAAGGTTGTTTGAGTCCAGCAATGGAACAAGGACATCAACTGCTGGATGTCAGCATTGAAGGCAAACGTCTCAGCCATGGCGAAAGTCTAAGTGACTGGCGCACGACTACTCTCACACAAAATTTATCTCCGCTCCTTGAGCAAAACTTCTCCTGCGTTCAAGTTGTAACGGTCAACGCTACAACGCTGCTGCAGCAACAGGATAGAATCACAGGGCTATACACAAGCCGATGCGCTGTGCAAGGGGAGGACGCCAAGGAAAACAAAGCCAGGGCCTGCTACAAATGGCTAATGTGGTGATTGAGGAAAAATAAAGCAAAGGGCTTTCTCCCAACCTGACCACTCGGCCACTCCAGCTCAATTTGCCAGGGATGCGAAGATTGGAAGTGCGGCGACGCGTAACCTCGGCGCGCAAAGGCCCGGCTCTGCCTGCTAAACATTGCAGAAGTGCTCATTTGGGCCTGTCTCAACATCGACTGTGACCCCGTGTTTGGTATGGGAGCCGGTGGGCAAAAAAAACACGGCCTCGGAATAGGGGCACACAGTTTGTTGGATGGGACCAAAACGTACTCAGACGCTTTACGCTCTTGACCCTCTTCACATTTCGTTCAGCTCCTGAGCGTCAATCCAGGCTGCATGGTCGGCGCTGCCATTGCGCACCTGTTCCAAAAACAGGCGGTGTGTTGTACTTCTTCGGACTTTTAGGTGGTGTGTTTTTGTCAAAGCTTCACTCGCCACGCGTCCTTTTGGTTGAGTGAATCCCATCCAAAGTGCAACTCTACCTCTTGGGCCAAGCTGCGGATGATCGATTCGCGGAAACAACTGAGAAAATTGGTACAAGAAAGCCATTGCTTGGTGGCTATTGCCCCGCACACAGCATACATCTTCCCGTCCCCACTCCCACCCACCACCACCCGGAACCAAAAGTCAAAGATCCAACCACATGCCCTTATTTTGGGGCTGAAAATGTCGAAAGCTAACAGAACCAAAGGCCAATGTCCTCTCACTGTTCGAGCCTGTTGGGCTGTCAGGCCCGTTGGGCCCATGAAGTCAAGGCTGAGAGGAGAGGAGCTGTTTGGTGCAGTCATGCCATGGAAAATTGAAGGTTTTGAAATACTTGATCTTGACGCGAGGCTGCTGTTGGCTGACAACCCACGCCAGGCACGGAGCAAGGTCTGTTCAAGCCTAGTAGAAGTTGTCTCGAGCTGCGCTGGAATCTTCACGCCTTTGCGCCGAATCACCGCTCCCATCGCGGAAGCCCGTCAGGCCCGTCAGGTCTGTGACACCCGTCAGGCCCGTCAGGCCGTCAGGCCCGTCAGCGACAGGCCCGTCAGCGACAGGCGCGTCGGGCCCGGTTTGCCCGTCGGGCCCGTGAACGGTGAGCGGCCGCTTCTCGACCCAAAGCCCGAACCAACAACAAGTCAATGTTTCTTCGTTGGTTGCTGGCGCGCAGTAGGGAATGAGGGAATGACGAAATGAACCTGGAATCCCCTTAAAGGAAACCAGGGGGGGGTGGTTTTTCTCGAGGTCATTCCAACTCTCATTCCCTGCATCTCTCGCGCCAAATTGAAATCTCAGCGTTCCAACCCCGAAAATCTGAACAGATTTCAATCTAGAGCCCCGAGCACCACTCTGCCCTAGCACTGAGAACATTGAAACCTCGCAAAACGTCAGGTTAAAAGTCTCCTGCGCTAGTCACATTGAAAAAAAAGACCTGGAGTTTGAAAAACTATTGAATCTGTCAATTTGTCAAGAAGAATCCTTTTTCAACTCTTGGTCACTCTCTCTGTAGGTCGCCAAGCCCCCAAGCCCGTCAGGCGGTCAGAGCCAGGCACCAAGCCAGCAAGCCGGGCCCGGAGCGCCACGCGCCGGAGCGCGCCTTTTGACATAAAGCGATCCATCGCCGAGCGGCGACTATAAGAGCTCCAAAAAATAGGGCGGTCCTGTTCTGGAGGATAGTGAACATGAAACGAACAAGGGATGTCCTCAAGTTGTGAACCCAGCTTTGTGTACGGAGTTGATTCAGCATAGGAAGCAACCCGTTTTGAGCCTCGCGAACACGTGACCCAGGGCCCCCTACTTCTGAGACGAGCTCAGCCACACGTTTTTGCCCTGAGGGCCTAGCAGTGGCCAAGGTATTCCGGCACGAAGGGGTATTTGGGTGTGTCCAAAAAAGAGGCCAACTTTAATTGGGTTGAACCTGATATATCTCACTTTAGAAGAAATAAAACAAAACAAAAACAACGAGATGGTTCCGATGTGTACAATTTTGGGAAACACCCAGAGGATGAATAGATCCAAGAATGGCCCATGTGTAGGGCATCCATCGGACGAGCCTCCCCAAGCTTCGGAAGAAATGCTAATGCTGAAATGTCAGCCGTCAGCCATCGCATTCGCGTGCTGCTTGTGAATTGGCATGAGCTATTGGTTTGAGTCTGGATCAAGCCACAAAGTTGGTCCGTCTGTTTGGGTGGAGACGCCTGTGCAATGATGGGCCAATTGCTCGATCTGCATCATCGCTGAACTGGCATCTGCGCACTCTGGGATTGCCACGCATCGAAACCACGCAGGCCGCTCAGCAATGACTGTAACTCCCGGCGCAACGAATTTTGCCGAACTCTGGTCAGTCAAACCTGTTGATCATCTAGGAACACCATCCCGTATTTGAAACTCATTTTGTCCATGTGTGTGTCTGTGTGTGTGTGTGTGTCTGTGCCCAAGATCAAGAATGGTTGCCGTCCTTCCTAAAACAAACAGGTGCCCGTTCGCTGTAAACAGAGTGTTTCCCAAAGTGTGGTCCAAAAAGTAGTTGTTCCTCAAAGTGACAGCAAAATGCTCAGGAAAGTGGACGCCGAAACTCGCGAAGCTTCCCAAAGGCAGAAAATGGGAACCAACCAGCTTCCAACTCAAATGGTATATGTTGCTCCCAACCCAAGCCTGATTCGCTTTTGGTTGAAGCTGGACCATCCCTCGTGACTGTTGGCCGATATCTTCCATGGTGCAAAGGATTCCTCTCTCCTGCAATCCAGCTCCCTTTTCCCCCGTTCTCGCTAAAGGCTGAGCTCGCCCAAAAAAACTAGGAACGTTTGATCTTTGTGGTCATTGTCCCCGAGTGCAAAAAGTTTAACTTTGTGCAGGCTGGTAAGAAAAATCAATTAATCATGTTCCATTTGCGTAATCAAGTCCCCAGGCAAAAACATGAACATAGTTTCAGTCGTGACAGATTCCCCTTGAAACCAGCAAGGAAAATGTTAATAGCAAAAAAATGTTGTTAAACTTGCAAGCGCTCCTTGCGCCGGGCTAAAGAAACTTCGCTTAAGCAAGTTGCCCCTTTGGGGCCGGGCCGCTGACACCAGCGCCAAGGCTCGGAAAATGGCGCGTTTTTCTCGTGTCCATCCACGGGGCCGGCTCGGCCGGCCGGTTGGAGGGTGAAGGAAGGGGAGCCAGGAAAGGACCTCAAATTCTTGGACTGCTCCAGCCTCGTTCACGGCAGGCTCCAATTTCTCCACCGAACACTTTTTCCAACGAGCTCAGCAAGCTGTCACAAAAGCGCCAGGTTCGCCTGGCGGGCTTGTGAGGCGATGTGTCTTAAGCAAGCAAGCAAACACTCAAACGAATGCAAACAAATTCAGGGCAAAACACGCCAACACACCTTACAGGAAGGGGCTGCACATCTCAACGGATCAGATTGCTTCGAGTCAACAACGACACCCTGCAAGTGCCATCTCCCTCCAATTTGATCACCAGACCAGCCGAACCCACTGCATTTTCACGCAAACCTCTTTTCGACGAGTGGCACAAGAAAATACAAGAAATGTGTTTCCTGCGCGGCCTCATATGTGCGTGTGGCGCTGGCAAGCCCGTTTTGGGGTGGGGGCTCATCCCAATGATTGTCCTTCAAAACGACCCTTTCTAAATAAGAGCAATGCCAATGCAGGATTACATCCCTCTGATTGGTTCTGATCCGCATGCTCTCAACTGGAAGCACTCCCTTCATCCACCAGGTTGATCCATCCAATCATCTTGTCAAGGAGAACCCTATGGCCTACGCCCAAGCTGCCACAAGGCTGAGTCTGAGACGCTCTCCTCTCACCAAACAATTTTTCAGGTGAATTCCAAATGAACACGGAAGCCAACAAACATCACATCTTCGGAGTCGATTTTTGAGGATGCCCTCTTTTTGCGGCTTCTCAGAGAAACCGAAAGGAAAGCCAACCGGTCGCGCAGTTCGGAGCCTGATGCCAAGGAAGGCCGCTCCGGATCCTCCCCGGGGCCCCCAAGCTGCAACTCACACAACACCTCCGTCGCAAACCGCCAACTTCCGGAAAAAAGGAACTGCTTGGACGACGTTGGAAGGGGAGCAAAAATCTAAATTTTAGCAGTTAAGTGAAGATTTTCCGCTAAACCACAATAAGCAAAAATGTAAAATGTTTCCCAACAAAAACCCTCACTATATGGGAAAGCCTGGGCTGTTCAAATTGGAGGCTTGGCCAATCCTAATCCACGATCCCTACAGGAAAGCCACAAAGAAAAACCCCTTGCGTAACAGGTAAGGATTCTGGATTGCCTTTGAACAGCCCAGAAAAAAGAAGTGATAGAAAGATATGGCATAAGATAGGTCTACGAACCTCCTTTGAAGTCCCACGAACCCACGGAAAGGAGGCTCCGTCCCAAATGATGTACATGGCACCCCTGTCATTGGTGCATGGGAGCCTTCAGAATAGGTTGGTTTTCTTTCGGAACTTCGCCCAAAAGGGGCCCTTCCAATTTTCAGCAACACGGCACTGGTCCATCTTTAAGGGAACACTGGAAGCGACATAACCCCCACCTTTCATTCAGGACCAGCCGGCCAACTTAGACATCCGCGTGACTTACATTCACCTCACGTCTGATTGAAGATCATGCTACCCTCATGACAGCAGCCCAATCTCTCGCGGGTAACGTGGTCGGTTTTAAAAGAAAAGGATGGGCCCTGACCATATGGCGATTCCTTGTCCTCATGAAAATTATACATGGAACCCAACCCTTGATAAGGGGGGGATATTTTTTGAGGTGTGCAACACCATATTTAGGAGCAGTGGTCTGAAACACCATTGATTCACAAATAAAGAACCAAGAAAGAAAATTGTGATGGTACCAACCTCGCGGTATTCCAAATACTAAATCATGCCTCATGGTGCCTAGTTAGTTTTATGTTTTTTTTATTTGCAGTGGATGGGATTGGACATGGATGTGCAAACCGTTTTTTGGCTGGAATAAAACGTCCGTTGCACGTGGGATGAGTAGTGGTTAGTTGACACGTCATCACGCAATGTTGTTCATCGTGTGTGATGTGCGTGCGCATCTGTCCCCAAGCAATCCCAGCATGTTCAATTTAAACAAAATTGGAAAACACATCAAATCATCGAGGTGCACACAGAAAAACATGCCAAGCACAGCATCAACAAACACAACAATCATCGTGTCGCCCCCCAAAAAAAAACAAGGCACAAAACACAACTAAATGGCACACAATGAGCGGATTGGTGCCGGCATAAGGGAAAAACAATCATCCTGTCGAATATAATCTTGCCCGCCCCTCATGTCGGGCCAAACGATGCATTTCCTGATACATGCCCGCGTCACCTTGTTGTGTGTTTTAAAAAAATGATTAACTCGCGACTCACCCATAAAATTGGTCCAAATCCACTTGTTTTTCGCAGTGATTTTGTTTGCAACCCGAAGTATGCTGACGACCATGGTAAAAACTGAGAACGTCAATGTAGATCAGCCGGGTTTTAAGTGCTTACACATCACCTGATCGAAACCAACAGCACTTCCCCGCAAACCCCTTCGTGCAACTTGTGTTGTCACTGGCCTGTCCAACAAATGGCGCCTCCTCTGCAGATGTTGCGCTGTAGAATGACCTCGAGCACAAATCAACAAAACTGGCCCCAAGCATTCATTTTTGCGACGCCCTGCCCCCCCCCTCTTTCGAAAATGAAGTTTGTCTGACACAAAACCCGTGTTGGTCTTGCAAAACGCATGCCTGAGCATCCCGCGCTTGGCTTTTGCAGCTCTCGTCGCCGTATGCCTGATGTCACACACCGTCAAAGCGTAAGGGACATCATTGCACACACCATTGCACACACAGCTGGAATGTCGACGCTCATCGCCACGCCTCCTGTGCCGTGTGACAAGCAAGGTTCCCTGAAATAGATATTTCTGTGAAACATCACCCGAAATAATGAGGTAACTAAGTACTAAGAACGGGTGAGCATGGGTGAGCCCAGTGCAAATCTGTGGAAATGTGCGCTTCTCACAGCGACACCTCACGTGGAGTTCCCTGAGGACCCCGACACGCTGACTTGCCTGGAGCAGTCTGCATGTCAGACTTGCCATCCGAAACGAATTGGAAAGAAACAGCGAACAAAACAAGTGGTTGCCCAACACTGGCTTGCCATGCCACACACCGGGTTACGAAGTTATGAATGCATCCCCAGATCCGAAGCTAGACTTCAGCGGTCTGGGAAAAAAATTGCTCTTGTCGCCCAAGTCTGCACCAAATCTAACAAAAACATACAAAAACAATAACTGGCTTCTTGTCCAAACACCAGCCCAAAAAAAAAGAGAAAAAAAAGAAAAGGAAAAAAGGTCCTGTCAGAAGCAAAAAGAAAAACAAGCCAGCAAACAAATCAAGAAGCAAAAGCGTCCAACCAAACCCCAGCCAGGCCGCAAACCAAGAAGAAAAAGTTCGCCTTGGAGCGGAGACCATGGCTCGCTGGCTGAGTGGATGGCCCAAAAAAAGTTCAAACTTTATATTTCCCACTAAAATGGTCTTCCCAAAAAGTTTAAAGTTGAACTCAGGAAGTGAGATGAGGAGGGGGGGTGCCCAGCCCCATAGCTGGCTTTGGAGTCCAGCCGAACCCCCGCCGCCTGTGAGAGGCAGCCCGAAAGCCCGCGCCTCGCGCTTTCCGCTTTCGGGGGGCGAAGGCGCCGGTGGGGCGGCGGGTTTTTGGAGCCACCCCCTGTTTCAAAGGGAAACCCATAAGGAAAACCGAAGCCATGGTGCCGATTTTTTTTAATAAGTTGCCCCCCCCCCCAAAAAAAAAAAAAGCTCGGTTTTCCGATTTGGCATGCTTTTAAGACCACTAAGAAAGGGTACCCTTCAATAGGCACACACACACACATTTGAGGGATCTTGGATTTTTGAGTTCTCGGAGTTTGCCGTCTAAACCACTAAGGAAGAGATGTGTGGACGTTTCAAGAACAACCACCCTTGCTCAGCAAGAGTCCTCTACCAACGGGAGTGGGGCTGGAATGCAAGTTGCTCCACAATTCCGGCCGATCGTTTGCTCCCAACAAAAAAGCAAAACAACAGGCAGCAGGCACACAGGTGGAAAACAGACAGAGAGACGAGCAAAAAAACACCACAAAAAAAGGACCAACAAAACAAACACAACAGCAAGAAGCATCCACAAAGAAACTTACTTTCAGACACCAGGCTCACATCCGGCCCTTTCCGACCAAACCTTTCCTTTGGGTGCCCCCACGGCGGCAGCACCAGGTGCGGCTTGGAGTCGGGCGCGAAGACCTAAAAAACACCGGGGAAGCCGAGGGATGACGGTCAACCAAATGGGAGTTTCGATATATGGCCATGGGTCAAAAGCCAAATCGTCCCCAGTGAACATCCCAATCCCCACCAAAAAAACAAACAACAAAAATGGGTGGTGCACCTACCCCAAAATGGTACCATTGGTTTGGACCCACAGCCATATGGCTGTGGGTCAAAACCCTGTTCCCCTGGTAAACATCAAAATGGGTGGCAAATGGGTGTTCATCCACCCCAAAATGGAGAATTGCCCAAACCATCCCGAAACATCAGGTTCCATGTTATATGGGAGTTTTTGTAAAGATTGGCACAAGAGACCAAAAGGGTTGCTGTGGCTAGTTGAAGATTTTTTAATGGTGGACCGTCTTTTGGTGGGTTGCTATTTGCACGGAAACCCAAAAAAAGAGGACCACCGTTTTCTTTTCTCCATCGTGGAGTACTACGATTCTAGCCTGCCTGGCGTTTGTAGAACTTCTCCTGGCCACGCAAACGCTGGCAGTAACTAATTAAAGCCCTACTGTACAAGGCCTTGTCATCAGCTCAGAGACTCCGACAGCATGTTTGGCCGTCAAAGGCAAGTTCTATGAACGGCAGCCATGCCCTCCGACGCATACTTCTCCCTCGTCACAAAGAGCTGCTCCAGGTCGCAAGTGCTCAGCAGCTTGTCGGCGCCCGGCGCCAGGCTCGGCTCAACGCGCACGGTGCTGCAGCCCGTCGCTCGCTTCAGCTCCTCCAATCCGCCCTCAAAGTCCTGCGCGCCAGCGCCGTAGAGCAACAAGTTCCTCCGCAGCGCCAGGCGGGTGTCCACCGGGCAGGCGGCGATGGCTTGGCCATGCGCTTGTGCGAGGCCCGGCAGGTCCTTTGAGCCCTCGATGATGGCATCGCAAATCATGAAGCCCTCCTCAGTTGCCCAAAAGAGCCAGAAATAACGGAAAAAAACAAGTAACCTTTTGGAGTCATGACAAAAAATGGACCAACATGAAAATTACAAAAGGTCAGATCCGGTCGCCTCGCTTGCAACTGAGCCTCATAAACGGGTGTCAGCACCAGCCCGCCGGACACCTCCACGGCCACGAGGTCCGGCGCCGTCTTCGTCTGCCTGGCGGCCACCGCCGCGGCGACGGAGCGCACGAAGCCCACGGCCGCCACGCCGGAGCTCATCAGCGCCGCGCACAGCGCCTCGCGCTGCGGCCGCGAACTCATCATGGCCTCGATCACCAGCACCCACTGCGCCTCGGGCTGCGCGAGCTGCTTCGCGACGACCCGGCCCGCCGCTTCGCGGGCATCTTCGCCCTCACCCCACGCGCAAGTGAGGTCGAGGATGGCCACGCGCTCCCGCGGCAACGGCGCGGACTTGCCGGTGACCTGGATGGCCTGTCGCCAGCCAAAGCCGGCGTCTGCGTCTGCGTACCCGCGCTGTTCGGCGAAGCGCCTTGCGCCCAAGGACACCTCGCAGCCAGACTGCCACTCACGCAACATGGCCGACTCAATGAGGTCCTCCACGCGGCCCTCCCGAAGCCTTGTGGCAGCAATCGCATCCTCCTGGAACCCCGACCCCCAGGACCGGTCCTTGTAGTCCAGCATGACCCTGAGGGGTAATTCCCCTTCGGCAAGGTCCAGAATGTCTCGATCATACACGTCCTGGTTCTTCTTGCGCCTCTCGTCTTCTGCCTCCAGCGCCACCGACGCCGCCACGCATCTCTGCACGTAGTCAGGCATGGCATCCTGGACGCGCCCCAGGAGCCCGGGGACTTCCGCACGGTCCTGGGCCTTCCGCTTCGCCTCCTGCAACTGCCGCTCCGCCTCCTGGACCTCCTTCTTCGCCTCTTGGACCTTCTTCTCCTCCTCCTCCCCCGCAACCCACTCAGGTTGACGGAACCAAATGAAATACAAAGCATGCCAAGAAAAAACCGTGAAACCTTGCTTCCGGAATGCTTCCTTTGCCCTGTCCTGGGTGGATTTCTGCAGATTCCACAGCAGCCTGGGGGTGAGCACGCTTGGGGCGCCACCGCAAGCAAACCGAGCCCTGCGAGAATTGCTTTTCCGCTTCAGTGATGTTGTGACTTACTGCATTGTTAAAAAGAAATCCATCATTCAAACGAGAAGTTCTTTGGCATTTCAGAACCTTGTGCGGAAAAGTTGAACACCTCCTCCGGACCCCCAAACATGCTTCCGACTCGGTTACCCATACAAATGGTCCCTTTAGACAGAAACCCAGCATGAAGCTCTCCAAGGTGATGTTGGAACCTCCGGATCTCCCAAAAGGCAAAAGGCCTTTTCTCCCCCGTGTCAGCCGAGAAAAGGGCCGCTCAGGCTCAGGCTTTCACCGCGCAGACTTCTAAGCCCACGTTTCGACTAGAAAAGGTGGTGCTTTACGAGCACGTTCGATCGTTGCGCAGAATCGCAAAGGACCACGCGCACACCCCCGAAAAGCTGAAGAAGTCCACAACTTGGCACATCGACCACACCGATCCCCGCAATGGGTCGCACGGGCATGTTAAAAGCAGCAAACGTCCACAGGTCTTGCCCTTGGACCACGTCGATCCCCGCAATTGCCAATTTGGCGCCACTTCTACTTGTGGAGCTGCACAAGTCCTTTCTTTCACGCGCGAATGCATAGGAAAGACACCGAAAGCCTCTCGTGCCAATCTCCTGTGCAGCTTGCTGTAGCTTGCTAAAGCAACCACTGCAACTTGCCAATGCAACTTCCCAGTGCAGCTTGCGCGCGCAACTCTCGAGGGCAACTTGCTAAAGCCTCTTTCTAGTTAATCTTTTTTGCCAGTGCTACCTTGCTAGTGCTAATTGTTAATGCATCTTGCTAGTGCTATCTTCCCACTGCCACTGGCTAGTGCGTCTTAGTGCTACCTTGCTGGTGCTACTGGGCAGTGCCATTGGCTAGTGCATGCTAGTGCAACTCGCGAGTGCCACTCGCTAGTGCGTCATCCGGGCCGTCTTTCCCGAAGAAAGCCTTCGCCATGTCTTGGAGAAACAACCGCGGCCAAAGAAGCATCTGAAGTGCCTTATGCTGATCTGAGTTGACTGCCTAGCTGTGAAACTTCCCACACCTAGAATGACGAAGACACCTGTCAACAGTTTGAACTTGGGAAGCTGAACAGGTAGGCTTCTTCATTCGCAGCGGGCACCTGTTGGAGCATGGCTGCTTTGGATCAGAGCTCAAAAGCGTGGAATACCTTCGTCCGGCGCGGCTGCAGCCAAGAAGCCAGGTGGTTTTCTTCTTCTCCTCGCTGACCTTCCTACGGTTCCTCTCCGCCTCGCGGACCTTCCTCTTCGCCTCGTGGATTTTCCTCTCCGCCTCGCGGACCTCGCCCGCCTGATCAAACAGAAGTCACTGGATTTCCCCGTTAAAAGTTGCAATTGCTGGTGGCGTGCATTGAAACACTCGCTTTTGGGCGGTCCAAAAAAGGTTGATTGGGCCTAAGGTTGGCCCCGGATGTATAAAATGTATCCTGTGACTAATGGGGTGCTCCCTTCAAAAGTGGGCTGAATCCCCAGAAAAACCGGGCAAATCCCTACAAATCAATCGGGAGGTTGTTAAGCCAGGGTGCCCATTACCCTACTTGAAGGGGCTGCGCACTTGTTCTGAGAATCATCTGATGGGTGGGGAAAAGCCCTGATGATTCACTCGATTTGCGAAATCTGCAGGGGTCACTCTCAAAACTCTGAGAAGAGGATTTCTGTTTGGAGGGCCTGAGTACTTAGATTTGGGTGCGCGCGTTCTTCCATGAAATCCCTGTTTAAGTGTGGCTTCTCCTCAACCAAACCCCTAAAATTTGCTCTCTCGCCTCCTCCAACCCAAGCATGCGGGAGTTTGCCAGGTGGCTCATCTGAGCAACCTCCTGGTCGGTTGCCAGTCTCTCCTGGGGCCCGCTGTAGTGGCACGCCGTGCCGTTGCTGCCGTAGGCGCACTGCGTATTGATCACGAAGTCTTGCGCGATGGCTCTGAGGGAGTTGTGAACCACCAGGAAGAGGTCGCGGACCCCGGGGCTCACGGAGGCATTGTTGCGGAGCTCGCAGCCGTCCACCAAGAGGCCGACGTCAGAGGCACTGATGCCGCTGGACCGCTCAAGCGCCTCCTTGATGTCTCTCACAATGCAGGTGGCCGTTTGAACCTCGATGATGTCGCCATTCATCTTGTAGATGCGGAAGCTGTTCTCCATTGCGAGGACGCGGTGCCAGCTGCTTTCAAGCGTCTTGGAAGTCAAACCGCGGACTTGGAGCAAAGCCTTGAACCACTATGTTTGCGTCAAGAGGGGGACCTTCTCGAAATTCGTGACGGTTATTTTCCCTCTTGGCTTTCCAACTAAAAAACATCCAAACACCCGTATAAACGGAACCGACCCCAGACATGGTCAGCTTCCATTGGCTTCCCTTTTTGGCAACACAAGAGACTTCCTCCAGAAAGGAACCGCCCTCATACTGTGGATGGGCGCAAGCCGCATCCATCCCAACTGGCGCAGCCTTTGAATCACTAATAGCCTTAAAGCCTCACTTGGAGGAAGCCAAATAAGAGGCTCGGAATCGTACAGATGCTTGGACTCCGTCACTTGCAACATCCTCTGGATTCCTTCAAATGGTTCGACGAGTAATGCATATCAAGAGACCACCTCAAGTCACTTTGGAGCCTCAAAGTCTTTCCCGAAATGACCAAAAATCCGCGCAAGAAAAAAGAATGGCCGCCGCGACCCCTATAGATTCCTTGAGACCATCCCCTTCGACAGTAAGTGGAATTCCCAAAAACTGAAATGGACAGAACGAATCCCGAGCTTCGCCTGGAAAGACCGGGAAGGCTCGGCCCAAACAAGGCAGACTTGAGAAGGCTTGCGTCTCCAAAAAACGGCAAAGGGAAGCCAACCGCTTTCAAAGGAGCCCTCTTGGGTTGGCTTCAAGGAAGGAACGCCTTGCCTTTCTCGAGGATGTATTTTGGACCTACGGGGTAGTCTTTGGGGTGGGCTCCTTGTAAGGGGTGGGTCCCCTGTTTTAGCATATGCTCACTTCTGATCGAGTGGATTGGCAAGAGAAAACTGGTCGTGTTCCACAAGAATGGCCCAAGCCCAAAAGTGACCTATAGTCCAAACACTCAGGACGTGAGTATACAGTATACCCATTCCGTGTTGGACCTCGCAAACAAAGACAGCCAGTGACGCACCCCTCCCCCCAGCTGACATCCCCGCCCGGATGGCGGGCGACATCTCTCTCTCGCTGCCTGGCGAGCAGATTTTTCGATTCCCGGGGGCAAGGCAGCGGCTGGTAGAACCAGGGAACCAGCTCAATTTTTTTGGGGGGGGGGTCGGACGGCAAGCATTGGTTTTGACCACCCTGAAAAAGCGTTTAGAGTGGTCAGTGGTAGAAAAAGAATTTGAACCAGGTCGATTCAAACGGGTTTCACACACCCAAAGGGGGGAAAAGAGAGGGTGGAATCCGCTGAACAACTGGGAACTTCCTCTGTCTGGAACAGCTTGCAACTTCGTCTCTTGACGTGTTCTAAGGGCTCGCCAAAACTGGGTGGCCCTACATGGGTGCTAGCATAGGTTCTCGGATTCTGCAGCTCAAGATGGTTCCTTGGTGCAAGCTGGAACCCGTTTATTTGGGGGGTTCTTCCTCCCCAGCTAGTAAGTCCCCATTCCGTGGGCATCTACCCCACAGCTAAACCCACATGTTGCTTGATCTGACTTCAATTTACTTCTTTCGCCCCCTGAAAAGAACAAACATATGTCCAAAAGAGCTAGATCCCCTTTACATCCAGAAAGGGAATTTTTAAGAAACTAAGTCATTTCAGCAAAACTCCATCTTGGGATATGACCCACGTACCTGACCTGGCGGTCATCCCACCCCCCGCAACCCCCATTCTTCCCAGGCGCCTTCCTCCGCGTCGGTGGAGCCCTGGGACGCGCCCTGGCAGGGGGATTGAAGCACCTCCCTGGTGGCCGCCTCAAGCGATTGGACCAGGTCCGGGTTCATTCCCACATCCCCCAATCGCACCAAGACAACCCTACAGGTCTTTCATGTCATGAACGGGCACGTGTGACCAAAGTGCGGAGAACTTGGACCAAGCTCGTGTTCAATTCAAGGGTGACAAAGGGGCAATACTCCAAACATGAGACAAAAAGAGACACGCATAAAGCAATACCCAAGAAGGGAGCCAAGCACCTAGCACTTCCTCCCTCCAAGGGCCACTGGCAATGGGACCACTATTCGCCCATCTCAAAACGACACGCTTTCTTACAAACAGATCACCATATAAAAGAAGTCTCAGTCCCCAATCCATTTTGGTCCCAAGCATTCCAACCCCATTCCTCCCCAATCCCATGCGTCCAGTCTCCCCGCGCTTGCGGCACGTTTCGGGCGGATGCCGCCCTACCCAGGAGCCCGGCCTCCGATTTGGACCTTGGCCAAATCGCGCGCCAGAATGCGCCAGAGGCTTGGGCTCACCCTCCAAACTTGGTTGCTGCAACGAACCCCCTGCAAAAAAAACACTTCAGGGGGCTTAGTGGAAAACCCAATGTTGTGTCCCAAAAAAGTTCAAGTCTGAAGATCCAACCCAGTAGCAGTCATGCAAATGGCGGCTTCAAGGGGCTCCCCCTGATGCATTGAGGGAGGCCAAAGGAAAGACATCCGGCTGGAGTGGCCGAGGGGTTCAATGAGGCTTGCATGAAAACCGCTCTCTCGTGCAACCTGGTTTGTCGAGCTTCAACAGTTTCTGGGGCCCATAAACCGGAAAGAGGGAGGTCAAAAGCACAAAGTGGCGACGGAAAAAACAGGTCCGAAGTGGGTCTGTCTCAAAATTGGTGGACCCTTTTGGATGATTTTTGAGGAAACCAAAACCGGCCATTCTGGGGACTCCCTAAAATATTGCGACACAAACCCAAGCGCCTGGTGGGGAAGCAGATGTAGCCGGAAGGACGGCCTTTTTCTTCGCTGACAAGTCAGCCCAAAAGCAATGGCTCGCCGGTCTCGCCGGTGAAACCCCCCAGCCCTAACTGTGGGTGAACCATGGGGCGCCCTTGTCACGCATGAAAAAGGGTGTCGGGTGGCGGAAATCTGCTTTTAAACGCGAGAGCGAGCCACGACACATGCCCCTTGCAGACCGCTCAGTTCCCTTCCGCCCAGCGGACAATCACATTGGGTCAAAGAACGGTGTGTGATGTTGGTGTGAACTGCCAGTTGGTATGGGCCTGGAAAGGGTAGCTTTGCAATTGCCGACGTCTCTTCGACGCAAACAAGTAAGCTGGCATAGCAAGTGGGACAGATAACAAAGGCGAGCAACCTTGATCCTAGAATCGCTCCTCGGCCAACAGAGGTAGGGCGCTTTGAGGGAACTGCGATGGGTTTGTCTCAAAATGGGCAACCTTGACGATACATTGGGAAAATCAGATGCAGCGAAAGCCCTCTATTTGGGGCTTCCTTGGTTTCAAGACAAACCCGCCGATGCGGCCTGTCTGCAAAAGCTGCGACTTCCACGATTACGCAGGCTGCAGATTCGAATCATTCAGCATGACATGTTTTCCAGGGCTCCCTATATTTCCCCTGACAACATCGCCCTCACCACGGGGTACTCACCTTTCATGGGCCAAAAAGGTGATGGTTTAAACCGCCAAAAAGGGAGTTTTGCTTTTGGTGAAAGGCAAACCCAAAAAAAAAGACACGCGCAAATCGCAGAAGCCGAATTGGTCAGAAGTCATCATCGACCTCGCAGTTCTCGAACAGGAAATCGCCTTCAAGGGATCTGCCGGCCAGGCGATGCAGAAACCAGTGATCTGAGTGGCGATGCAGAAACCGCAAGTGATATCTTGATGAACATGAATGAAGACAACATATTCCTCATGCGCATGTCTTCTGACTTGCTTCCAGTTTTCAGGAAGGAGCCCTTTGAGTGCAGCTTCTGCTTCTTCTTTCTCTTGTCTCCTGTTTTGTCTTCTTCTTTTTTTGGGGGGGAGGGGGGGGACACCAACTGGGGACCCACTCACACTAAACAATGCTCGCCCGCGCCAATGTGGATCCCGCATGAATCAGCCAGAGCAGTTGGTAGGTTGTTGATGCAGGGTGGGACTCCTCGCCGCCGTGCAACTGTCTTCACTTTTGGCACACCCGCTCATGCGTATCACGTTATATCTGCGCGTATGCTGGCCAAATGTTAAGCACACCCGCTCACGCGCATGGTGTCATAAGTGCACAAATGCTGGCACATGATAAGCACTGACGCTCACGCGCATCGTGTCATAAGTGCACACATGTGGCAGATGATAAGCACATCCGCTCACGCGCATCGTGTCATAAGTGCACACATGCTGGCACATGATAAGCACACCCGCTCACGCGCATCGCGTCATAAGTGCACACATGCTGGCACATGATAAGCACACCCGCTCATCATGTCAGAAGTGCACACATGCTGGCACATGCTAAGCACACCCGCTCAAGCGCGTCATGTTATATCTGCGCGCATGCTGGCCAAATGTTAAGCACGCCCGCTCCAGCGTATCATGTTGTAAGTGCACACATGCTGGCACATTATAAGCACACCCGCTCACGCGCATCGTGTCATAAGTGCGCACATGCTGGCACATGATAGGCGCACCCGCTCAAGCGTATCATGTCATATCTGCGCGCAAACAGGTCCGAAAACTTTTCGACGTTTGAGGAGGGGATGCTAAACGTTTGTTTCGCCTTGGCGAAATACTTCTTTTTGGGAATCTGCCCTGCGAAAACCCATATAAAATGCATTTTGCTGAATCATTGGCTGCGAGAGAGAACGTGGCAGGCGTGGGGGACGGGCGATGTCGGTCGATGTTCTTGTGTTGTGGTTTCGCTTGCCTTCCACGGCGGCGAGGCGTTCCACCACCCTTGTTGATCCCAGCCTTTGTAGGGTCTCGCAGGATTTTGACCACAGGGGCTGGTGCGACACCACAAGTGGTCCGGATACCGCAAAGTTCATGAACAGGGCAATCTCCCTCGCTCGACCATGAAACTTTGCGATGACTCAACAATCCAAGGTGCCTGAGGCCGATTCGCTTTGAGGGGATACCAGCCATCGCACCACTTGAAGGGGGGGGGGGCACATCCCCTAATCATCCAGGTTGATTCGTCGGACATCTGGGTTCGAACCTCGGCAAGATCCTCACAGCTGCCTTCACACTTCCGATCGAAACTTGCCAACAAAAGTCACCCAGCTGTCTGTCTAAGCCACTAAAAGGGTCCAACCCAAAAAGCGACGAAAGTCCGCAACGGAACTCGGGGAGTGAGGTTCGCCCCAGCTGGCTTGGGTCCCAGATTACCCTTGCACGGCTGACTTGTGGGTTCAACGCTTCCACCCCCCTGCCCTTTCAGCTGGCAGGTCCCCCGGGATGTCCAAATTGCACCGAGAAATATGCATTTCTTAGCCCTCCCCTCTAGCCTCTAGCAGACATGCGCGAAAGGCCTTTAGGGCGACGGTGACTGGGGCCGAGCCGGCCCTTGCCCCCCGCCTGCTTCGTCCATGAGCTGCTCCATCTCCTCCCCGGCCTCTTCGGCCATGAAGGCGTTGGCGGCGCCCGACAGGAAGCCCGAGAACATGCCGCCGCCCTGACCAAGGCGGGGTTAAGAGGGCGTAAAAAAAGGCCCGGCGTAAAAAGGGCCCCAAAAGGGGAACGCGATTTTCTTTTGAGGCGTGCGTTGATTGCGTTTTTGTGTGTTTTGAGACAGCTTTGGTTTTGTTTTTCTCCTCTGAGCTGTTCAAACTGATCCCCCCGGGAAAAGTTGAACTTGCGGGCTAGATGGAAACCCAACCACTAGAACCAGAAGCAACTAACCAGCTAAGAAACCGGATGGCTGGCAACCACCAAGCTTTGTGTTGTGTTGCCTGGAGCTCGAGGTCCTCCAGTAGAGAGGTTAGAATAAGGATACCTTTTGTCTGTAGTCTATTTTAGTGGGGGAACCCTCCCAACCAAAAAGGGGTGAGAAAGGGCACTACTGGGGACCAAGTGGGCGTCGATCCTTTGAAAGGTCCAGATCCGAACACTTTCAATAGACCCCCCCCCGAAGTGACCTGTGACTCCCCACAGCTCTTTGCCGTCTGCCCTTAATGGCCATGGCCATGGGGTTGTAGAAGACGACCCTTTCTGCGATGACAAGTTGAGCGGGATGATTTTTCCATTACTACTTCAACATGCAATGAATTCCGTAGGTCTCGAAAGCGGCCTAACACCATACTTTCCACAGCCAAGGGCCCACGAAAAGCCTGGGGATCTGCGTTATCTGCGCCGGCAAGCTTCACCACATGAAGCCTTCCAAGACAAAAATATTCCACAAGATGTCCCCTAAGATCAGTTGGTGTTCCTTCTGACTTCCCTCCAAGGTCCGCCTGGGGCCCTCAAACCAGCCCAACATGCTTATAATACTGTGGATGGACGAAACCCTGCACCACCTAAGAAACCATGCAAAGCCATTGTCCGTTGGTATTTACACGAAAACAATCATTCCGGGGCTTCTTTCATGGTGCGAAATGGATTTCGTCCACCCACAGTATGATGTTTCTTTGCCCATGGGACGCAAAACCACCAGGTGCCAGGCCCCCACACCCCTTGCCACGTTGCCACCAAACCCCTAGCCCCCCCCCCCGCCCCGCGGGAGGTGGTCGGTCGTCGGGGCCCCCGCCTCCTGGCCATCCATGTCAGCTCCGCCCAAGTCCCGCGATCTCCTAACGGCGGGCTGATCGCGGGAAGGATTCGGCGATTCGGCCGCGAAGCAAAGCCCTGAGATCACCTGCTAAGACTCACAGCTGGTTCGTCCCAAAAAGGCAAAATCCTGAGTGTGGGTCCAAAATAGATACCCAAATGCAACCCGAGTAAATGAAAACAATGACTAACGCCTGTGGTTTGCTGGCGGTTTCATTTTGACTCATACCCAAGTGATCTCCCTTCCCAACCCCCCCCCAAAAAAATTACACCAGCAGAGACCCCAAACAGTTGAGGACTAACGGGCAAGCACAAACATGCCAACAGCTTGTGGCTTTCTGCGCTTCAACACTGATGAATCAAAGCGATGCAGTGGTGCACCCGGCACGCGTTGCGTAGCTGCACGTGTGTTGCTGGCGTGCTTCGCGCTTCAGCACCGCGCAGGAACCGAGGTTGGGCAAGCGTGTGCGATAGCGGGCGAGCGAGCGAGCGTGGCTGCGCAAGCCCGTGGTCACATGGGCAGCTCAGAAACACATGTCCAATTCAGACACACATGTGGAACACACATGTGTATACGACTGAAACAATACACGCGGCACGCGCAAATGTGCACCCGTTAACACACACATATGCATTCACCTGCGGCACACGCATACATGTGTTGAGCTGGAAAACCAACGTGCGCTTCTTGTAAAGCACACACACATGTGTACACCTGGAACACACATATGTGTT